CCCCTGCAGGTAAAAGCCCAGCAGCGACCCGAGCAGGACCCTCAGCTCCAAAGGCCGGGAGCAAGATCCCCACCCCAAAGGGGGGCCTGAACAGGACCTCTGGCCGGACACAGACCAAGCGATGACCTGCGGCCATGGCCTCTGTCCCCTTGAGGGCCGAGCAAGTCTCCCAGTCCGGAACCCACCTCGGGCTGGTGACCGTGCTCCGGCTCCACCCCGGCTCTGAGCACAGTGCTGACCGAGAGCCACCCCAGGGCCCAGCCAGCCGCCCTGTCTCTGGCCTCTGGGCTCCTGACCCATGCAGGCCTCGGGGTCCACAGAAGGGAAACACTTCTGTCTGGAGTGCGTTGGGTCTGCGCCGCAAGCTGCGGGGGCCACTGCCCAGCCGGGGGTCCGCGTAGAATATCCCGCACTCCGCACGCGGTCTCCACGGGGTAGGGCCCAGCCACGCCCAGCCGTGAGAGGACAGGAGCGGGCCTGTGTCCGCCTGTGCCTGTCCCCACAGGCACTGGGCCCGGCTCAGCGCCCACACTCTCCAGGAGGGGAGGCCTCGGCGAGCCTGCTGCCCCTCCACAGGAGAGAGGGTCATCCTCTCGGGCCCAGACGCCTGCCCCCGTGCTAGGCCGGCTACGGGGCCGGGGGCCGTCAGCCTTTCCTCAGGGAGCCTCCATCCTTCACATGCAAAGTTCTCACAAGTAAAGGACGAAATGGTGTCCGCTGGCGCCGCTGCTTGAGTCCTCGGAGCAGCCCCTTCGCTGGACCTCTGCCCTCGAGCCCGTGCGGTCCTGGGAACTGACAGTTTGCTCTGACGCTGTGTCCTGCTTTAACACCGGAATGTGATGAAAGCCACCCCCGGGACGCCCGGCCCTCCCGCCCCAGGGACGCCGCCAGCCTGCGCCCCAGCCGGGGGCAGTGAGGAAGGAGCACACTGGCCTGAAACCGGGATGCAAAATCCCAACCCAAAGAGGGGCCGTGGGGCGGGCAGACCCTGGAGAGCAGAGACTGAGCCCTGACGCGCGTCTCTTCCCCCAAAGCTTGTAAGAAAGAGATCTGTGATGTTTTCTGTACAATCTGGAGGCCCGTACACATATTCCATTTCCACAACTGGCACACTGGGTGCATTTACAACGCTGTCATCTTGCTGGGGACAGAGAATCATGGGTTTCTGTGGGCACGATGCCCAGGAGAGGCCGCCAGAGGCTTCGCCTCAGGCTTGCGGAGCAGGTAAGGGAACGGAGCAGGTAAGGGAACGTTCAAAGGAGCGCACCGAGTAGGAGCTAAATCCGGAGCTGCAGTCCGTCAGCGGATTTTCACCGTAAACGGGGGCACTTAACAATATTTATTTCTATTAACTTCGCATTTCAAATATTAAATGATTAATTT